TAAACAGTGTTTCATCTCCAACCCTATCCCATTTTCTACCCCATTTTTTACCCCAAAAAGTATATTTTTGGAATATTCCATTTTTATAACTTATATATATTGTCAAATATACCCCTCTACTAATTAAAATCTATATTTATGATTTATTAATATAAATTAGTATACAACATGATATTATAAATATTAAATATTGCATTTAAATTATAATTAGTAGATAAAAAATAAACTAGAAATGTATAAAATAAAAATGAGAGGGACTAAAATTGACAACCAAACTTCACCTCCATTTTTGGAGATATGAATAGTATTCCCCCATATATGGGGGAATACTATTCATATCTCCAAATATGGAGGTGGAAATGGGGTAGGGTTGGAGAAGAATGAGGGGAGAAATGGGGGAAGAAATGGAGTATGGGGGTGGGTTGGAGATGCCCTTAGTGTGTGTTCTTGGTGTTCTTGGTGTTTTGGAAAATCTAAACAAAAATGGAAATGACTGGATGAATAGATGCACAAACACTAGATTAAGTCTTTTACTAACTTGAAATGGTTAGAACACTTACAAGATTGAAGATTTGGAATTAAATCTTAGATGATACTTGAGAGAGTTTTTGGAGTTTACTCTTTTGACTTTTGGGGAGTAAACACAAATGACTAAATTTTTGGGGAGTAAACTCACACATAGGCATGAGTTCACGGATTTGGGTGATTCGTAAACCCAAAACATAAAAGTTTGGCTGGGTGTTTCTAATACGCGAAGTGTTTGCGGTTTTCAAAAATCAAAACCCGAGACGACACTTTCTTTCACCCGTTCGTTTAAAAATAATATTAAAATAATCAAACGAACTTTATATTTCTTAAAAATAAGAAATAATGATATTAGTTTATGATACGAAGTTGTTGACTTTTAGGGTTTGACCAAATGGAAATTTCGGGTTATCACACCATCCCCCTGTTAAGGGAATTTCGTCCCGAAATTAAATTCGAAACAAATAAAGTAGTTAAGAATGACTAAGCAAAGAGATGAGGGTATTTCAGTTTCATCTTATCCTCACGCTCCCAAGTGAATTCCGGTCCTCGCTTGGCGTTCCAGCGAACCTTCACAATCGGGATACGACTTTGCTTTGTCTGCTTGACTTCTCGGTCCATGACCTCTATTGGTTCTTCCACGAAATTGAGGCTCTTGTTGATATCGATCTCGTTGAGTGGGATTACAAGAGTCTCGTCGGACAGACACTTTTTCAAGTTAGATACGTGGAATGTAGAATGTACGTTACGAAGTTCGTCGGGTAGATTGAGTTTGTATGCTACAGGGCCGATTCTTGCGAGAATCTCGAAGGGCCCTATGTATCTTGGATTAAGCTTTCCACACTTTCCGAAGCGTATCAAGCCCTTCCAAGGTGAGACTTTGAGAAGGACTCGGTCTCCCACCTGGAATTCCAAAGGTTTCCTTCGCTTATCAGCGTAGCTCTTCTGTCAGTCTCTAGAGGCTTTCAATCATTCACGGATCCAAATGATCTTCTCTGTTGTTTCCCGAATGATTTTCGAGCCGGTGAGAGTACTATCAGAAGCTTGCCCCCTAGCTAATTGGGTATCCCCCACTTCAGCCCAGCATAGAGGGAATCTGCACTTTTGGGCATAGAGGGCTTCGAATGGAGCAGCCTTGATGCTCGTGTGATAACTGTTATTGTAGGAAAACTCGACGAGGGGTAAATGAGTATCCTGTTGGGTTTTGAGCAATCTAACACTTCCTAAGTGGGCATGCAACGCTAATAAACCTTGGATCTATGTTTTCTTCTAAAATACATGCAAATAATAACTTCAAAGGTTTCTTCCTAACTAGCATAGCATAAGGATTATGAATCATAAAACTACTAGTAGAAATACATACCTTTTGATGATGGTTGATTGTTTGGAGTTTGAGAGCCAACCACCAATAGTGTGAATGCCTCAAATGGAATCACAAATCACCACAAACATTTGGAAAACTTTGAGAGAGTAGTATACTTTCTTGTGGAATCGGCCACCACTAAGTCTCACACAACTAGAGTCTACTCTTAGAGCCATATTTCTTGCATCATATGCTTCTTTATATAGTGTGCATGGTTAAGGTGAAACCCTAATAACCCATGTCTTTTCCTTTCCAAGGATCCATGGGTTAAATGCTCCATGGATCATCCATGGACTTCCATATTAGCTTAGCCCATTTACAAATGAGTATTAGCCCACACTATATAAAATATAATAGCCCATAATTTAGTCAGTCTTCTTTTTAATCTCTAAATTAATTCACAATTAATTTAAGACTAAAACTAATTAAATAACATGACTTCATATTAATATATTATAACTTATAATATATTAATAAATTGTAACTATACAATTCTCATAAAATTATCCATAAATCGTTTAGATGAAATGCAACCCAAATGGACCATGTCGGGTCGGGTCAAGTATGTACCAAATAAGTTATGGACTTAGACACCTTATCCAACGCACTCCCACTTGAATAAGTCTAATAACTATATTTGCGTATGTTACTTCAGGAACCAACCAACAATTGTAGCTCTCGAAAAATCTGTTGAACTATGAAGCGCCATTTTAGATAAGTGATCATATAATCCTCTGTTCTCATTATATCTGCCGGACAATTACATGGAACAATGTCGTACTTATTGTCCAACAGTTTGTTTCCCAATTTTCGATTTGTTTGACAAAGAACTTAATCGAACACATCAATTTAGTTCTGACCGGCCGGTACATAGGTCACAATAAAATCATCGAGGGGCCCAGATATCGCTTCTATTTCTAGAAGGAACAGATAAACTTCGACTCATATGCTTGTTCTACTACTTGTTGAATTGTACACAAAGGCACGTTTTATAACATCAAGTTACTGATGCGTTTACGTGCAATCAATGCACAACCAACTCATAGGTAACAACTCATATCTCTAGGTTTGAAGATTTATATGATATTACTGTCTCACGATCACTCGAGAGAAATTCCATGAAGTGATACAAGTGAGCGTGGGTTTATTCCAATACTCATAACTTATGAGCACTCATGAATGTTGCAGCAACCATTTCTATGACTAAACCCATTTATCCATCTACAAACTCGATTCATGACAGTCTTGATTCATACCTACTTCCAACATATGAACTGCTGTGGAGTGTTTAAATAACTTAGTCATTCAGAAAGAATAACCTAGCTATTTTGGAAGTCAAAACATGCAAAGTGAAACACAATAATAATCGAATCCAATATGGTCTCAGAACCCTTTTGAATATAAATAGAACCACCTTTTATTTATCACCATATTGAATACACATTATTCATTGTATAATGTTTCAAACAATCAACTTAAGACTTTGAATAAAAAAACAGTCGTCCCATGCTCCTGGCATGTACACTTTGTTTTCTAAATAATAGCTATGCCATACTCCAAGTATGCACACTATGTTTGTCTATGATCCTTACATTGTGATGTAGATCAATTGAACATGATTCCAATGATACTCATTTCACAATCCCAAATCCTTATTGTAAATATGAGAATCCCCGATTCTTATCATTTACCAAAAATCTGTTAGGTTTTAAATTTTTATGCAATGTTCCTCTTGTAATGATTATGCACAAAGTCACCAAAACCTTGTCACCAGTCATTACAGAGTATTCCAAAGAAGGTCAACTTCTATGGAACGAAAGTCTCATATTCAAAGTACATTGCTTTGAACATCCTTCTTGCATTAAGGTTTTCTAATCTTACATAGATTGAATAACTTCCACCTATGGAGACATTTCCATAGTCACATTTTAACTATCACTTCCGAACAAGAGTTACTTCTTTTTAGAATATGTCAATATGGTCCTACCAAAATTAACACTATACTTCCAAATGTCCCTGAGTGACCAATCTTTGGCAAATCTCAGATTGTCCTCGACAATTGCTTCATCACTTTAGTCATATCCAATTCTAGACTTTTCCCTTCTCAATGCCTTAAGCATTTGGAAAATTTAGAAAAGATGAATATTATAGCACATGCAATTGATCCTATATCCGAAGCATATGGGACACGATTCATGATGTTTGACATAAAGACATGATACTAGACCAGTCCTTTGCTACAATATTTTTTATTTGCCATGTTTTCAAAATTTAACTATGAAGAGGGATGCCGTAATTATAGTCGAATTTTGAAAACGCAATATATATAGAATTTCTTCAAGTTGAACCATTCCAACACAAAATTCATATATATATATATATATATATATATATATATATATATATATATATATATATATATATATATATATATATATATTCTTGACTAAAGATGATTAAAATCTCAATCTAAGCTTTAGAATTGAAATGAAGTATAATTTCCTCTCCCTTAATTATAGCAAAACGACTTTTTCAACCCATGCAACTTCACGAATTGAAACTTTGTTTTCTATAATTAACATTGCTAACTTGCAACACTAAACGTAATAATCATGCTCCCACTAACATGATGATTATCAGCATAACACTTATGCTCCCACTAGCTCTGACATATTTCCAGAAATCTGCTGGACTTCTGAAATTTAGATTCATACACCTTTCTGTAGATAGCTCACCTGTGTGTCTAAGCAATTTCAAGAACTATGAAAAGTCCACTACAAGAAAAAGACCCTTTTATGACGCGCAAACCACGACACTCGTTGATTTATGTTACGCAAAAGAGAGTGACATTAAAAAGGTGGCATCTCTTCAAAAAAAATTTAGAATTTATGTCACACATTATTGCATGCCCCTAAATTAGTGTCTAACACAAAAAAAAAAAAAAACACGGAGGGCACCTCTATCAAGATGCGTGTCATCTAAGGATGTTGCTTGATAAATTTTAATGGAACGCACGTTCCATCTTTTAACAGCCAGGGGGAAAATGAAATCCTAAAATATTAAAAACCCAACCTTCCTTTTTTTTCTCCTTTCCCTCTTGCCCTAATTATCGATGCTGCCTACTTCTTCCCTCTCACTTCGACCATCGTTACTTGCTATTCCCGGTCGTCCGTCGATCAAGGCAACAATAGACTTGCCTTTCTATGTAAACCCTAGACCTCATTTGCTGGTTTCGTTCCATGATACGATTTCGTTCATCTGGAATCAACTACCATCGTCGATCTGGTATGGTTTTGTTCAATTTTTTTGCAGAAGGTTTTGGAGATGGTGGTTTGTGGCGGTGGTTCCTCTGTCCGATAATACCAGATAAGAACCCTAATTCTATTTCTTAATGAGCTATATATATATATATATATATATATATATATATATATATATATATATATATATGCGGGGCGGCATCTTTTAACGTATACGGTGGTGAAGCTTGGCTGCCAAGCTGTGACCTCACGCTGAGGTAGAAGACTTCACGGTGGGTTTTCGTCTGGCGTTTCCCCCAAAGCTACTTGCTAGTCTTTCATCCCCTTTTACTCCACCGATCCTTCATTGTATCTGAGTCGCCCCTACGACTTCTTACACTTGGGTAAAATAATAAGGTATTTTTGTTTTTTGGTTCGATTGGCAATGATTCGTGACGCTTACGACCCTCTGAACCTCTTCTTCCTCACATCGTATTCTATCCTATCGTTCTTGCTTTTCATCTCCTTCTCACTATAAATAGTTGCAGGTTCTATCTAAGAAATCAATTTTAGGGGGTATTAGGGTTGGAATTTTCTAATTTAATGGTTTGTTGTTTTATTAGGATTAATCGATGCTGGTGGTTTGGTCGCACGCCTTCTTCACTGTGGGATAGAGATCCTGGCCATCTAACCTCTCTCTCTCTCTCTCTCTCATGCCAAATAACACGATTTGATGGATTACCAATCAAGAATGATTGGTTATGGTTATGATTTAAAAGGCAAAGAAAATGGCAGTTGAGGTAGCTGGATCTTTTTTTATCACGGGAATTGCAATTGGAGGGTTTTAGGCCCACATGAACTGTCAAAGTATATTCTTGCTTCTTTTTGTCGGATGTTTCCACTTGTGTTGGTGTTTGGTTGGGTAGCCATGTAAATGAGCTTCAAATACAGAATCGTTGTAGTCTTGTTCATCATTATCAATTTTATTCATGCATTGGTAATTAATTAGATCACATGAAAGCAGGGGTTCTTCATCACCTGATATCAGAGACAAAGGATCCCTTCATTCTCGATTTAAACTCATCACAGTACCATATTATTACTAAAAACTAAAAATATTCATTTTGTTTGCTTCTGACTATTTTATCATGTAGGACAACTGAGTTGCCTCCGTCATGCCTTGCATCATGCTTTTGGGAGCTGCAGGTAAGACCTTCATTTGATTTTAGTTATTTGTTCAGTTTTGTGATACAGGATCAGATCGGCTATTGGTTGGTTTGTGTTATTAGTAATGGTAAAATTAGTTTAATTACCTTGTTAGAAATAGTATTTTAGTCATTTACAACTAAAACTCAAAACTCATATTAGTGTTATCTTTTTCTGCACATAATATAGCGTATGAAATAATTAAATTTTTTTTCCTCACTATAAATTTCATATAATTATGTGGCAGTTTTCTATGAATTATGCATTGATGGCTTTGATGTTTACAGACCGTGGATCTTGATTTCCCTAACACAACTGAAAGCTATAGACTTTATTGCCAGGTTTGTTATTATATGGATTGGAAATTCCTTTTCAAAATTGTTATAATAATAATAATAATAATAATAATAATTATTATTATTATTATTATTATTATTATTATTATTATTATTATTATTATTATTGTTGTTGTTGTTGTTGTTGTTGTTGCTGCTGCTGTTATGATGATAATTATTACTATTACAGAGGTTTATTGCCAGTGATATAAAGGAATGTGAGTGTGGTGCCCCTGATACTCCATATGATGGTTGGTGTTCCTTTTTTCATATATCAGTTTATTATTTCCTTGTTTGCAAATTGCAATCACAAGTCATAAAGTGATGTACTTTTTGGTCTCTACATCATCGTTTGAAATAGATAATTGGGGTATTTTATTGTTTTAACAAATAGGGAAGAAATGGATATGAATTCCTTCCAAACATTGGCGTAATTGGATTTTATGCGTTTGGAAACCAATTATGCCATAGAATGGCATTTGGAATTCCGGTTTTGGAGGAATCTGTGAACGTAATGTGGTTGTGGAACATGAATGGGATCCTTCCGCCAATGAAGAATAAGATTTTTATTGCTTTTAATTTATCTCGATTAACAGGAGCGTAGAGATAGGTTCTGACAGATTTAAGACTCTTGATGTTCTATTTAATCCGTCTTTGATCAAAGTATTGTTTTATTGTTTCTATTATATTATATTATATAATTATTATTATTATTATTATTTTGATTATGCATCTTTTTTTTGATCTCACAGACTATACCTGGTATGGAAGGTTCTATAGATATTGCTTCTTCTGCTCGTGGCTTGCCACAAATGGTAAATCATCTGAAAACATTTTTAACTTTTTGGTTATATATCTATTCTAGGGTTAAATGTAATAAATAGCAATGTACTTTCATTGGTTTGTTCAATATAGCATTTCATTTGTATATCTTTTTCAAAATTCTAGTTTTAAAAACTTAAACAATCAGTAATAGAAAGAAGTGCATGTAAAGTAGATTGGTATTTAATAGCCCCTTTATTTTGTTTGTTGATATTGTTTATTCAAGGTATTGGAGGCCTGCCACAAATGGTAAATCATCTGAAAACATTTTTAACTTTTTGGTTATATATCTATTCTAGGGTTAAATGCAATAAATAGCAATGTACTTTCATTGGTTTGTTCAATATAGCATTTCATTTGTATATCTGTTTCAAAATTCTAGTTTTAAAAACTTAAACAATCAGTAACAGAAGGAAGTGCAAGTAAAGTAGATTGGTATTTAATAGCCCCTTTATTTTGTTTGTTGATATTGTTTATTCAAGGTATTGGAGGCCCAGGCCTAGGAGCTGGAGAGCTTGACAATTCCGCCTCTTATTGTGTCAAGGTACCACTTTCTTAGTTATAGTGATAGCGATATTAGGTTATGTACTTTATTAATCATCCGTAATAGCATTATACTTACAATTTATTACCCATAATAGCAACTTACCTACATTTTATGCCAATAATAGCAATATGTAATTCACAATATGCCCTTTAGCAGATACACTGAAGGCACTAAGAGAAAATGTGTCATTTGGGAAGGTATTACATTAAAGATTCTTATATCAAAATATGAAATATACATTAATAATTTTTTATTACTAAGTTATAAATGATTCTGTGTTAAGGCGATGAAAACCACCCAAAAGGGGAAGAATCTAAACAAGCTGAAGCAGATGCTTTCCGTGTGTGACGTTGCAATGGTATGTCACATAACACATTTTATTTATTTTAGTAAATTTCAAGAATGGTCCCTGTGGTTTGTCACCTTTTCTAGGTACAACCTAAAAAAGAATGATTTTCTAATAAATAAAAACCGAAAAAAGTTTTGAAGCCATTTGTGATTTGAATGTTAATTACAAACAGAGGCACAAAGAAGCGGGGTAGGATACTGTTGTCTTGGTGGGTGCAGAATATGGAAGTGGGAGTTCAAGGGACTAGGCTGTAAAGGGACCAATGTTACATGGGGTGAAAGCGGTGATAGCAAAAAGTTTTGAGAGGATTCATAGGAGTAATTTTGTTGGTATGGGGATTATTCCACTGTGCTTCAAGGCAGGTGAGGATGCAGAGACGTTAGGTTTATTTTATTACTTTTTGCCGAAACCATGTGGTTGCTATAGTTGAAAAAGAAGCTAGATGGATAATTCTTTCATCCTTGTTGTCTTCCATGCCAAAGGAGGTATAACTGTTATTCTTCTTCAGTGGCGTTATAGTAATTCTTAATTCTGAAAACTGAGAACTGCTGCATGAGGTGTACAGGAGATGGAAGACCAGGGGTTTGATATTCCTTCGTTATGGGCTGATGTCTTTAGTGGTCGTGGCCAAGAGCATTAAGCAAATTCATCTAAGGATCTGTCTTCTAAAATAAGGTTAGCACACTTTTCATCAGTAATGCCCTTTTTGTTGGTTAATGCTTATCTTTTCTTGTTATGTATTTTCCTTGTTTAGTGAGGTAGGCTCTAGTATAAATTTAGGCTCTCTCTTGTATCATTCATCCCAAGAAACACATTCACAATTTCCTTCTCTCCCCAATGGTGGATCTGTTTGAACATATTTTTTTAATGCTATTAAAGTTAAATTGTAGGGATAAATGCAAATGACAGCAATGTAATGGCTTGGTTGGTTTTCTTTTCTGATTTGGTGCTAGGTGAATCTAATGAATCAGGATCTGCCTTGAAGATAGGAGTTGTGTTGTCAGGAGGACAAGCACAAGGAGCGCATAATGTTATATATCTGGGATTTTTGGTTAGGATTTTGAACTTCCATTTCCTATTGTTCATATTTTTCATACTTCATATGATAGATTGAAGGATTGACTAGTAAACATCAGCAATATTGGTGCCAGGTGAATCTAATTAGTAAAGAAAGTTGAAGGATTGACTAGTAAACATAAAAGTAGAATGAAAATGACAAGTGATTTTGTGTTGTGTTTACAGGGTTGATGAAAGCGAATAGCTCTCGAGTTAGAAGTGGAAAAGAAAGCTCAAGCCGAAAGAGATAAGATGCTGAAAATGCAAGTGTTGTATTCTTCATTTCAATTGTTAGTATGAAACATAGAGTAGATTAGATGAATGCAAATTTATATATTGTAAGAAATAGAATTGTATGACATTAGAGTTTATGCAATGGATTGTATTTTTTTTGTGTATGGTATTTTATTTCAATTATGACACATTAAATGCAAATTTAATTTAAAAATTAATAAATACATAGATATATATTTTTTTAAATATTTAAATTTACGATACGCAAAAATGTGCGTCATCTTCATTTATGACATGGCCTTTCTTGATAGGGGCTTTCTTGATACGTATTGCGTGTCATTAACACGCACGTCGTAAGGTTATGAAAAATGAATGCGTGTCGTCTTCCTTTATGATAGGGCCTTCCTTGATACGCATTGCGTGTCGTAAACACGCGTCGTAATTGCACGTCGTAAATGAGCGTCGTAAATGCGCGTCGTCTCTCTTTATGACAGGGTCTTCCTTGACGCGCATTTGCGCGTCGTTTGAGCCTTTTACGACGCGCAATGAGCGTCGTAAAAGGCTGTTTTTCTAGTAGTGGGGATGCCGTAATGATAGTCTCAATTTCTTAGACCTTTGTTATTTCTCACAAGTCCATGTTAATGTGCCGGTGAACCACACGCGCTCCACTAACGACTTTTGAAAATGCAAATAACACAATTGATATCTACGTAAAATCTACTTAGTGAAAGCGTTTCCTCACCATCATTTTCATGAATCGGAGAGAAACCTTATGATACTTAGATTTTATAGTGTATGAGCTCCTATCCATGTGAATTTGTCAAAACCATAATCACAAGATAAGGTTAGCGACAAATCCAGCCTTACATGGATTAAACTTGTTCAATCTTAGTTTCTTGTCACCTTGGTAGCACAAGGCCCACCAATGCTTCCAAGTTGAACTCTGATAACTCACATGCAAATTCAATTTATTTGAAGTAGGTACAGAAATAAGAATTATGTCAACACAATAGGTTGCAAACCTTCAGTCGTGTGCTAGTGATACATTACAGGTTTTACTCTTGATTAAATCTTGAAACTCTTTCAGGATCTTTAAGGCTCCCACTGTCCCCTTGACATATAAGTTTCCCCAATCAAGAACCATTCCTTGACAAAACAAATATTCAAGGGATAGTGTGGATTTTTATCAAGACTAAGGTGCTGTTTGTTTTTTCTGAGGCAAAATGTCTGCAGTCTGTGGACCACATCTGTAGACCTCTGCAGTAGAAGAGGTGGACCAAACGTCTGCAGTCTAAAAAAAGAAGACTGTTTGTTTTTTTTAACATCTGCGGGCTATTAAAATAAACTGAAATCTAAATAAACTGATTTTTTAAAACTTCAAAGCGAATTTTTTATATATTTTTACAACTTTCTTATAAATATATAACGAATCTAGATCAACTTTTATGTATTATTATATAAAAAATAAAAAAAAATGGTATTAATTCATATACATATTTGATAAAAACCAACAACTTTGATTGTAAAGTTATAACTAAACATTATAATTAGTGATCAAAGAATTTGATACATAAATAGATGGAAATAAACTTCGATTTTTTCAAATAAATCTATTAAAAATGTACGATAAATATTTTCTCGAGAAATTGATGATACTTTATTAAATAAAGTTTTACAAAATTTTGGCAAAAAAATATAAGAATATATTATGATTTTTTTTTTCATATTTATATAAACCACTTCAACGACTATTATTATAATAAATTTTTATTTATAAATTTGTTTAAAATATCATGTTTGTATTGTCAAATGTTTTTTTTTTTTAAGTTTTGTAATTTTTTTTTTCATATTGTTTATCATTAATAAAGTTGGAAAAAATATAAATTAAAAAAAAACTTAAAAAAAATAAAGATATATATGTTTTTTTAAGCTAGAAGATGTCTGAAGATGTTAGAAGACTCTGGTCCACATCTGTGCCAAGAAGAGGGCGCGCAGAAATTTTTAGGTCTGCAGTCTTCAAAAAAACAAACAGTCTGCGAAGACTAATGTCTGCGCGTGGTCTGCGCGGCGCAGACAGAAGACATCTCGCAGATCTGCAGACAAAAAACAAACACTACCTAACACTTCACACAATTGGTCTTAGTTGGTCTTTGTCTCATCCAAGACATCACAACTTACCAATCTCAAATGTACAAGAGTAGAAACATTTTACACTACATTTGATAAGTGTTTTAAACCTTACTTTATGTCACTCAATGTTACAATCTTGGAGTATGACTCTAAGAATTGTTTTGAAATGAAGTATGACTCATCTTCTTGATTTTAACCAATGCAACAATTCATGACCTCTCTTCTTAGCCATAACAATGCACTAAGACGTCCTTAGAGTATGAATTTGTGATATGGTTTCATAATCATTAGGATGATCATGAAATGTGATACTAAAGTACTCTCCCATCCTTTCATATTTGAGAAACTTTTATCTTTCTGCCTAATTTTATTCTTTTCATTTGTTTTGTCATACATTGTAACCTTTCCAATGTTACAAAATTATACTTAACCTCATAAGTATAATCATATTTACTAATCTTTAGTAAATCATGGCAAATCAATCTTTGTGGTGGACCTTGACCAGCGCACACCCAGTGTACCTAATTCCTTAGTCCTTCAATTGACTCACATATACATGTGATCAAAGAATTAGTCTTATTTTTCAAAGATGAAAATTCTCATTCATCATACAATACAACTTGTATGATTCCAAGTTTCTGTCCAATTGAAACTTGGGTGATGAAAAACTTTCTTCATTTGGTAAATTTAGACACTACCACAAATGAAAGAATCAAATCCACTTTCCAATATTGCTATTACTAGAAATATATAAGCAACAATTTTCCACATATGCCATTGTAAGGATATTTTAAAATAAATAAAATTAAAACCCTTTTTTCTTTTATTTTAAAACTTTGCGGAAAAACTTATCCTTACAATCCACATGAAAACCTTGTTGTTATTTATTCATAAGCAATATATTATAACTCTTAAGCAACAGCTCAAAATTCTGATTGCCGAACCATGCGATCGAAACCCACCTTCACAATCAGAATCAACATATACTTACTTTAAGCTTCCTATCTTTTCTTTGATTCTTAAAACATCAGCATGTGACCCATTCACATTATGTAATAAGAATCTCCAAATAGGAACATAATAGAGTTAGTCAGTGGACTTTAACTGAAGTAGAGTCAAACTTTTTGACTTGATCAATCTTATGATCTTTTAGGTAAATATGGAAGCTTCGCAATTAGTGTCCCTCCCTTTGGCAATAAAGCATATAGACCCTTTGGTAATGGCACATGAGACTATCTCAGACTTAGCCTTTCTCTTTACCATTTGGTCAACTGAGTTGACTATGGCCGATCCCTTTCCATTGGGAAGAGAAATGCTTTTCTAGATATCCAATGCTACCATTTCCAATGTCCATTTAAGGTTTGGGAAGTTGATCTTCTAATAAAATTTTCTTTACTAGTGTTCCGAATCATTGCTGAATCTGCAGCACTGAGCAAATAGATAAGATCATTAAGGCTCGTGTCATAGTTTGTCTCATAGTAGTCCCAAAGAGACTCACTATGTTACTAAGAAAGTGATTGAACATCCAACTTTCACGAGACTTTGACACCCAACTCTCCCGGCTTGTCAATATGTGACTTTATCACCAAGATGTGATCACATATAGATCTTTCTTGCCAACAGGGCTTGAGTGACCTTAAACTTGTGGGTTTGGGAGAATAAATGGAGGAGGTGGAGGAAGTGAAGCATGATGTTGAGGGACACCATCTTCAAGAGATTTGGGAAGATCATGGTTGTCTGAACCAGACATCTATAATGGTAGAAAATCAAGTTAGTTGATTCAAAGTCCTTAATATAACACCCAATATAAAATATTAAGGCTAGGACCCAACACAATATTTTATAACTTGGAAGAGGGATTTCCGTAATCCAAGCTATAAAATATTTGAAGGTAGGTGAATGACGATTCACCAATTTCCACCATGAAAACGAAATAATTTATTAGGTTTTAATTGGATTTGAAATTCCTAGATCTTTTGGGATTCATTGAACTTTTCAATGGCATGTTTCAATCTTGAGTGTGCCCTCTCAAATTTTGTGACTGGGATGCCGAGGATCACAAAACAAGGTGTGAATAACCATACCAATTCACTTGGTACCCTTAATATTATCACCTAATCAATGTGCCAGTTAACCACACACACTCCATTGATCTATGACAAACATTAAGTCACCCTTCGTGATCCTTACTAGTCCAAGTTAGTGTGTCGGTTAACCACA